TCTGTCACCCTCCAAGGAGCAGATGACAGGACACACAGGAGACCCTGCACAAGGTGCTGTCACTGAGCTGGAGCTGCCAAAGACTCTCTCAGATCATTTAGCCAACCTACAAATCTCTCATTGTGGGGATAGATCCAAAATGTGACCCATGGAGGGCAAAAGAGACCTCAGGGCATGGTGAGAGCTGCCCTAGCCAAGGGACAGGAGCTGATCATGGCCCTGTCACCTCCATGTGAACCTGCAGTGCTGACAGCATTCCCTGGGCAGGGAAGGCTTTGTGTAGCCATGTAGGAAACCTCCCCATGGCACTTTTCCTGTGGCACTGGTGACATGTGAGCTAGAAAAACCCCCAGGGCAAGGGTTTCCCTGTCTGCCATCTGTCTTCTCCATGCTCCTGGTGCCTCCAGGGAGCTCCAGGCACTTCTTGCAGCCTCAGCACTACACTGAGCTGCTCTTGAGCCCTGAGAATTTCAGCTTAAAAGTTTTGCAGCTGCTTCTCAGGGTTTATCTGCTCTCCAGCAGCCTTTGCAGGTGGGTCAGCACAGCACAGCCACACTGAGCTGCCAAACTGTGTTTGCTGTGGTTTTGCATGTTGCAAAGTGTGTAGGTCCTGGTGCTGCTCTCTCCTCCTCCCAGCCCTGCCACAACCCATCTCTTGATAAACCCAGCAAAACTGGGTTTTGCCTTGTGGTTTTTGGCAGAAAAAGGTGCTGGGGCTGCTGCCACAGCTCTGCCTGTCACGAGGTGTTGTGCAAACAGAGCTGCTCAGAAGGAGACAAACATCTGGGGGCTGTGAGGAGGAAGGAGGAGGCTCCTGCCCCATGGCAAGGGCAGGTCTGCCAGCCCAGGCTGTGGCAGTGGCACTGCTGAGAACAGCTGGGCAGTGTGGAGCTGGTGTTGGTTGTGTAACAGGCTCAGCCTCTGCCTCTGTGTGTGTCTGAGCTTCCACGTGCAGCACTAATCCTGGGGCCCTGCTGCCCTGCTCCCAGCTGGAATAGCCTTCTCTTTTGGGCAGAGACACCCATGGCCTCAGGCTCCAAGTGACTCAAGTCCTTGGGCTTGTGTTTCCCAGCTTTCTGGGGAGGGAGGGAGTGTGTTTTGGCTCCAGCTGCCATCAAACCACCCTCCTCCTTTGGCTGAGAGCAGCACAGGCTGCCAGGATGCTCCTGTGCTCCCAACCCTCCTGCCCCCAGGTTTGCCTCCAGATGTGCAGGTGAGGAGGAGGTGGCTGTGTTAGCTCCCCACTGAGTGCCCTGGGCATGTCCTGGCAGCCTGCAGCAGGGCAGAAATGTTGCTCTGCTGGCTCGGTGGCTCTCCCAACCTCCCATCTTGGCAGCAGGGAGTGTGAGGATCAAAGGATCCCGGGGAGCTGTTGGCTCAGACTGCTGCTGGAGCAGGCTGGAGCACGTAGGGGTGGCTGGAGGGTCTTGGGGTGCTGTGACCCACTGTAGGAGGCAGTGGAGGGTGTGGAGAGTGTTCACCTGCCAAGCTGCTCTGCCCTGGGGTGCAGAGGGGCTGGGAGGGCTGCCCTGGCTGGAGCCCCTGGCTGGGGTTGGGTGTTGTGTCGTGGCTCGTGAGTGCCCTGTGTGGTCCCTGCAAGGGGAAGGATGGGAGCTGCCTCCATCCCTCAGCTTCCTGCCTGCCTGGTAGGAAGTGGGATTGCCCTGCTCCCCCAGGCTGCTGCCAGGACAGGAACCTGCTCTGGTGGGAGGTGTCCCTGCCCAGGGCAGGGGTTGGGGCTGGCTGATCTCTAAGCTCCATTCCAACCCCTAAAATTCTGTGCTTCTGTCATTCCTGTCCCTGATGCTGTTGTCCAGGAAGAACTCCAAGAAGTGAATGGATTCTGTCATACTGTGGTTGGCCCACAGAAGGTGGTGTAGGAGCCAGAGGGTGGATGGCATCAGCAGGTGACATCAGCAGGTCCCAGCTGAGGTCAGGCCCTTTGCAGGGTGGTGTTTGACTCACTCTTCCTCTCTTCTCTCCCCCCCAGCGCCCTGGGATGCCTCCTGGCAGCAGGATGCCCATGGCAGGGCTGCAGGTGGGACCACCTGGAGCTCCTCCCTATGGAGCAGCCTCTCCAATGAGGCCTGGTCTGCCCCAGGCCATGATGGATCCGTTCAGGAAGCGCCTGCTGACGCCCCAGGCACAGCCACCCATGGCCACCCAGAGGAGAGGGTAAGGAGCCAGGACCCTCCACTCTGGGATGAATGGGGGAAGGAGCAGGAGGGTGGTTTGCCCTGCTGGTTGCACTTCAGAAAGTCATGGAGTGGTTTGGGTTGGAAGGACCTTAAAGCCCATCCTGTCCCACCTCCTGCCACGGGCAGGGACACTTTCCACCAGCCCAGGGTGCTCCAAGCCTGGTCCAACCTGGCCTTGAATGTTCCCAGGACGAATTGGGAGCCAGCAGCTCCTCACTTGTTTACAACACTGCTAATCCTTTTGCTGTTTCTGCTTTCCACAAGAGCAGATCTTGATCACTGGGAGCTGTTTCTCAGGACAGGATCCCTTGGGCCTCGTGGATGCTCAGGTCCCGTTCCCTGCCCTGGCTCCAGGGGAAGGCTGAGAGCTCCTTTTGCTCTGGGACCCCTCTGAGGGCTGTGCATCCTGCAGTGCTCCAGGGCAAGCAGGGATTAAGGCCAAGGGGCAGCTCAGAGGCAGCTCAGGGGTTGGCTGCTGGGATCAGCCGTGCTGGGCTGGAAGAGCATCCCTGTGTCCCTGGCTGCGGATCAAGGGATCAGGGGCCACCAGCTGCTAGCAGGGTGGGCAGACCCTGCAGGCACGAGGTGTTTCTGTGGCAGGAAGAGCTCTAAGAAGGGCTCTGCCCTTGCTCCTGGCTCGGGCTGTCCTTCCCAGTGTCCTCCCAGTGGACCTTGGACCCCTCGTGACGGCAGCACCACGTGTGCTGCCAGAGAATGGAGCAGGACTTCCCTCTGCCCTGTCTCCTGGGCAGCACCATGGCAGGAGAGTGTTCCCCTGTGCCCAGGCACTGAGCAGGAGCTTAGTGGGGCATCAGGCTGGGGGCAGAGCCCATGGGCCCAATCTGCCACAAGCCTGGAGAGAGCTAGGATGGCTCCTTGGCTCTGGAGGTCACTCTGCTCCCTCTGCCCACCCTGATTTCAGCCCCACCATGGCAAGGCTGCTTTGCTTTAAGCTGCTTTTGGGTGAGCTCCTGGCAGTGGCAAGGCTGGTTTGTTTAGAGTGAGTTCCTGGCAGAGGCCTTTGGTTTTGTAGCACTGGGAGAAGGTGATAGCTGTTTCCAGAGAGGAAATTTGGGAATGCTGTTGTGCAGATGGGAGTGTGGCTGCTGCCTGGCTGCCACAGGATCAGAGGAAAGCTGGAAGGGACACCCAAGGATCATAAATCCAACTTCTGCCCTGCACAGACACCCCAACACCCCACCCTGTGCTTGAGAGTGTTGTCCAAACACCCTCTGAGCTCTGTCAGCCTTGGGGCTGTGCCCACTGCCCTGGGAGCTGTTCAGTGCCCAAACAGCTCAGGGGGCAGAGCCTCCCCCTGTGCAGGAGGTGCTGAGGGAGCTGCAGTGTTCCACTCTTGGCTGTGTGTGCTCTGCAGGGTGAAGAGGAGGAAGATGGCTGACAAGGTGCTGCCCCAGAGGGTGAGTGAGAACTCGGTGTGGGGGAAGGAGCTGAGCTGCAGCAGAGGGGACAGAGAGCCCATGGTGGGAGGACCTCACAGAGCATTTCAGTCCCAAACCATCCTGGAGTATTTCTGTCTCTTCCTCTGGGGTGGCAGGAAAAGTTGGGAGCTGTAAAGTTGGACTCTGAGCAAGCAAGAAGCAGTGATGGCTTGGGGTGGAGACCACAGGAGGACCCTAAGCCTCACTGGGAGTGCTGGGGGGCTGTTGGGGGGTGTAACCCCTCCTTGCACACAAGGGACTGAGCATTTGTGTGTGGCAGATCCGGGAGCTGGTCCCAGAGTCCCAGGCCTACATGGACCTCTTGGCCTTCGAGCGCAAGCTGGACCAAACCATCGCTCGGAAGAGAATGGAGATCCAGGAGGCCATCAAGAAACCCCTGACAGTGAGTGGCAGCCCTGCCTGGGAGGGTGGGGCCACAGGTCCTGGAATCATGGGCTCACAGAATCCTTAAGGTTGGAAAAAACCTCTAAGGTCACGAAGTCCAACCGTCAACCCAACATTTGTTCAACACTGACCGTGTCCCCAAGTGCCACATCCACGTGGTTTTGAACCCCTCCAGGGATGGTGATTCCACCCTGGGAAGCCTCTTCCAGTGCTTTACAGCCCTCTGTGTGAAAACCATTTCCCTAATATCTAATCTAAACCTCCCCTGGTACAACTTGAGGCCATTTCCTCTCAGACTGGAACAGAAGTGGGTGCTGCAGTCACCCTCTCCCTCCAATCACCTCCTCCCTCTGTTTTCCACAGCAAAAGAGGAAGCTGAGGATTTACATCTCCAACACTTTCACCCCAGCCAAAGAAGAAGGAGAGGGTGGTGAGCGTGTGGCCTCCTGGGAGCTCCGTGTGGAGGGCAAACTGCTGGAGGATGTAAGGATCCAGGAGGGGTCAAGTGGTGGGAAGAACACAAGGATCCAGGAGGATGAAGGGGTGGGA